TNTTGATATAAAAACAAAAGACGACACGTCATCGGTGCACTAAGTTTATTTGGTATGGACACTAATTATATACTATATACAAATAAAAATTAAAAAAGACAAGTTCGCACACCACACATTGCTTCGATATACAAGCACACACAAAATACCCGATAGAAAATATACAATATGACAAATAAATCGACAAACACACACACAATGAAAAATATACAATATAAATAACCCCGACAAGCACACGCACAATGAAACTATACAATATAAATAACTCCGGCAAGCACACACACACAATGAAACCATACAACATATATATACAAAACTTCGATACGAAAAGAACAGGATATATCTATCTCTCTCTCCCTTTCCGCTGGTGGGTGGAATGTCAGAGATAGGCGAAATAACACACATGAAAAAAACAGAGGGTGATTGGTAGATCGCAGGTTAGGATCTCTCTCTCCCTTGCCGCTGGTGGGTGGAATGTCAGAGATGATTTCTGGTTGTTCTGGGACCAGTATTTATACCAANCGAAATAACACACATGAAAAAAACAGAGGGTGATTGGTAGATCGCAGGTTAGGATCTCTCTCTCCCTTGCCGCTGGTGGGTGGAATGTCAGAGATGATTTCTGGTTGTTCTGGGACCAGTATTTATACCAACCTGGGGTAATGAAAAGGGGTGGAATATAGAGGGGTTGAAGGTGGGGTAAAATTGGTTAAAGAATGAACGAATGTGGGATAACGGGTACTTAGGGAAAAAAAAAATAAAAAAAATGATGCTGGGAACGAACGTGGCATACTCGAAAACCTAGGATTAAAAAAAAAGAGCAAGTCTGTACGATAACTAGAAGAGAAAACAGAAATTGAAAGAAAGATAGAATTTATAGTGCGGGAAATAAGTAAAGAAATAAATAGAAAATAAAAAAAGGAAATAGATGTCTAGACAAAAAACCAGTTAATGAAAAAAAGAAAAATATTAAAAGAATTGAATAAAATTTAGTTTTCGAAATATGCCTCATGTAGGGGTTGTTGTTGGTAACGGTGAAACTTGTCGGACGGGTTGATAAGGGAAGTAGGTAGGTAAACATACCGGTCGACGAGTCTGGGTTTCGTGGAACAAATTTTGCATGTACTTTCCTACCAGGTACAACAAATCGCCTCCCCNTATACAGAATGACCCATTTATCGTTTCCACCGTTTTTCAAAAATCAGCGCATAAACACAGTGCAATGATACCTGTTTCGAAAATTTTCAATTTACCTAGAAATGCTAAATTAAAATTTTATTTGTTTAAATTTCATAACATTTTTAATGGACTAATAGGGTTAGATAATCTAAAATTATTACAGGCAAATTTAGATTTTAACAAAGGAATTTTAGTAACTCCTTATTCAGAAATTAAACTTCGCTATCATAATACAAGTAACAATCTAAATCTAAATACAATAGCACCTAGCACTGAACACGTAATTAAAATAAAAACTAATATACCAAACGGCGAAATTATAATACCGCATTAAAAAATCCATAATTGTGAAAGACCTGAATGTTTGACAATAGAAAAAAATAATGAAGCCCTGGCAAGCATTTTAAATAACACGGTAAATCCAGTAACTTAAGACTTTTCAGAACCAATAACTGCCGAAAAATTTAATCGGAAACAAATACAAGAGTTTGACGACACCTCTAAACCAATTTTAGATCCTTCCAAAATTCGTACTTATCATTTAAATTCTGAAGAAGAGTATCATATAAAAAATTTATGTAAGGAATTTGCGGATGTATTTTACCAAGAGAACATGCCCTTAACATTTACCAATCAGGTTAAATATAGAATAAGAACTACAGACGAAATACCAATTTACAGAAATCATACAGGTACCCATTCCTACACAAAAGTGAGGTTGAAAGACAAATTAAAAGCATGTTAGAAAAAAATATTATTCGGCCTAGTACTTCGTCTTGGTCATCTCCTATTTGGGTAGTCCCAAAAAAGATAGATGCGTCAGGAAAAGAAAAATGGCGAGTGGTAATTGACCATCGTAGACTCAATGAGAAAACTATCGATGGTAAATATCCGCTACCTAATATTACAGACCTTTTGGACAAATTAGGGAAATGTCAGTACTTTTCAACATTAGATTTGGCAAGCGGGTTTCATCAAATTGAGATGCACGAGGATGATATACCAAAAATCGCGTTTACAACTGAAAACGGTCACTGGGAAATGTTGCGCATGCCTTTCGGTTTAAAGAATGCCCCTGCAACATTTCAGCGTGTAATGGATATTTTGCGTAGTATACAAAACGAAAAATGTTTGATATATCTCGACATTATTGATAGTGATCGACCCATTGCATACGCATCGCGCACCCTAAACGATTCAGAACAAAAATATAGTGCAATCTAAAAAGAACTTCTCGCTATAGTTTGGGCTACGAATTATTTCAGACCATACTTATTTGGCAAAAATTTAATATTATTACTGACCATAAGTCTCTTCAATGGTTGTTTTCACTTAAAGATCCAAATTCTAAATTAACAAGATGGCGAATCAAATTAGAAGAGTATGATTATGATATAAAATATAAAAAAGGTAAATTAAATTCAAATGCTGATGCGCTTTCCCGCATAGAAATTCATACAAAAGAAGCAAGTAACATTTTTGAATACATGGAACGGTTCAATAAACAACTAGAAAATAATAATCACCCTCCTCCTGAAGATGATAATATCTCTTTATTAGTGCAACCAGATGAAAGTGTTCAGGAAATTAATGACAACCAAAATTTACAAGACGAAAATGAAACCGTGCATTCAAATAGTGAACAGGACCCTATTGTTAGTATACCAATTGCAGATACGCCAGTAAATCATGGTCAAAATCAGATAATAATTAGTCGAGTTCTGCACAGTCCCGCGAATCCGTCAGTAACTAGGCTATTCGACGATAAACAACGAATACATGTCCAAATTTCTGAAAATAACTTTGAAAATGACATCATAAGCTTTATAAAAGGTTTCATTGTACCTAAAGTTCAATATCACCTATATTTTGAAAACCCTGAAATTTACGAACCTTTCTGCGAAACAGTTAGGAAATACTTTAAATGGCCCTCCTTAAAATTTAAAAAATGTAAATACAAATTGATTGACGTTATTGATAAAAAAGATGTCCAAGAAATTATCCGAAATTATCACGAAAGCAAAACTAACCATCGCGGTATCGATGAAACAGAGCTTAAAATCAAAACTATATACTATTGGCCGAATATGAAGAAATCAATTCAAACCTATATAAATGATTGCGATATTTGTCAACAAAGTAAATATGAAAGAAATCCTGTTAAAATCCAAATGAACGTTACTCCAACAGCAGCAAAACCATTTGAAATAATTCACATGGACACCTTTACATTAGAAAAATCAAAATTTCTAACTGTAATTGATTCCTTCTCCAAATATGCACATGCATATCCACTAACAAGTTTAGCGTCTATTCAAATTGTTGATAGTCTAATAAACTTTGGTGTTCCTAAACAGATCATTGTTGATAATGGTACTGAATTCAAAAACGCAGTTATTTCAGATTTGTTAAAATTACATAAAATAAAAGTTCATTTTTGTTCTCCGAATCATCCGCAGTCAAATAGTCCTGTCGAAAGACTGCATTCAACTTTAATAGAACACGTTCGATTATTAAATTTACAAGGTCCTAAGGAAACACCTATTGAAAAGAAATTAATGTACGCAATACTAGCTTAAAATTATTTTATACATTCGGCAACAAAAATGAAACCAATCGATATAATTAGTGGTCATATTGATAACAGCGATCCATTTAATATCGATATTAATGAAATGCTTGTAAGCGACTATGTACAAAATCATAGAGAAACAACAAAACTGTTATATTCCAAATTAAATGAAACTTTGACTCAAAATAAAGAAAAATTAATTGCCAAACTAAATAAAAATCGTGATGATCCGAAAATATTCAAACCACAGGTCAAAACATTCGTTAAACAGCATAAGCGACAGAAAACCGCAAATAAGTTTGAAAAACCGACAATTATAACGAAAGTTAACGAGGAGCACAAAACAATAGAAACGCCCAAGCAAAATAAAGTACACATGGACAATATAAAACGCCCACTTAGAAAAACATATGATTTTAACCCGTTGTTCGCACAGTTGGGTCTATTTGACCCGAGAAGTTTTCAAATGAGCGTGTTTTTTTTAAATTTTTGTGCGACGTTGCCAAACTTCTCAGTAGCTGGAGCTAACGGTTCCCCCTCCGCGCGGGATATCTCCATTCAGTCGTCTTGCGGCCGCAGCGGGTGATAGACACGGCCAAACGCGAAATAGGTAAATATGACCCAACCATACTATTCGTGTCGTAATTTTTCGCCGTTTAAAAAAATGTTTTTTTGTTGTTTTATATTGTTTATTTTGTTATTTTCAGAACTTTTCCAATTATGGATCGCGAAGAACGTGAACAGCAGCGAATTTTAAGTATTTTGCAAGAATCCGACTCCGAATACGAAAATTGTACATCGGAAACTGAAGAAGAAGAAGACCATCTGAGTGTTCGCAGCCAAGATAGTGACACCGATCAAGACGCATCTGGTTATAACAGCGACGATGAGCCTCAGATTCAACTACGCTGTCGCTTACATTCTTCACCATCAGAATTACAGCAGAATTTTGATACTAACTCGACTGCGACAAGCTCTTCAGAAAGCCAGGTACGAACCACTTATTTTTTTGGAAAAGACGGAACAATGTGACATAAGATGCCTTTGCGCCAAAATGTTCGAACTAGGGCAGAAAATATTATAACTTCATCTGAAAAAGAGTGCTGGAACATATTTTTTACAGACGAAATGGTTGACCAAATATTAGCTTATACAAATACTCGCATTCAAATCAAAATAGCAGCTTGTCAAGACCCTTCAAAATATAGCTACATGAAAGAATGTAAATCGCAGTGAATTTCTTGCTTTCCTTGGACTTTTGTATATGGCTGGTGTGCTTGGCTCTGGGAGACAAAACCTGGCTGATCTTTGGGCTTCAGATGGTAGTGGCACAGATATCTTTAGGTTGACTATGTCGCAAAGACGTTTCCATTCTATACAAAGTAACCTTTGCTTTGATGACATGACTACGCGTGATTCAAGAAAATCATTAGATAATTTGGCTCCAATCCGCGATATTTTTGAAGCATTCATACATAATTGCCGCAATNATACCAAAATCATAGATAGTAAATGGGTATTCCGTATCAAGGATGAATCAACAGGTCAAAGGTTTAAATCAAGGCTATGCGCCAAAGGATATGCTGAAACCAAAGGCATTGATTACAATGAAACATTTGCACCAACAGTAAGGTATGACTCTATTCGTATATTACTTTCAGTAGCTGCTCAAAATAATCTTAAGATTATTCAACTTGACGTCAAAACAGCTTTTCTATATGGAGAACTTGAGGAGACCATATATATGACACCACCTGAAGGACTGAATTGTGGAGAAAATATGGTATGTAAACTTAATAAATCCCTTTATGGTTTAAAACAGGCACCAAGGTGTTGGAATAGCAAATTTGACAAAGTGCTAAAGAAGTATGGTTTTGTCAACACCACGGCAGATCAATGTGTGTATGTTGGTTTAGTTAATAATAATAAATGTTACCTTTGCCTGTATGTAGATGATGGATTGCTATTTTCAGCAGATGAATCTACTCTGCTAGAGATAACCAAAGAATTGAGCTTTGAAATAACAGTTTTAAATAAGCCTAGTAATTTTGTTGGAATGCAAATAGAACAATTTAGTAACTGCATATTTATACATCAGACTAAATATATTGATAAAGTGTNTTTGTCGTTGTTGCTGTTGTCATCTCTCGTAGCTTAGTGGTCAAAGCATTGGCGCGTAAAGCCAAAGAGCCCGCGTTCGATTCTCGGCGGGGGTGTGTCAACAGCAACAAATTTTTCCTCATTAATTTGAGGAAGTGTGTAGTGGGTAAAAATTGAGAATATTTCATATTAAAAACTAATTCACTTCGGGAAGATTTCTACATTGTATATATATTTATATTCAGTACATAGTTACATTAGTCATCTACATCTGTGACTAATAGTACGGTTTGTCGTTGTTGCTGTTGTCATCTCTCGTAGCTTAGTGGTCAAAGCATTGGCGCGTAAAGCCAAAGAGCCCGCGTTCGATTCTCGGCGGGGGTGTGTCAACAGCAACAAATTTTTCCTCATTAATTTGAGGAAGTGTGTAGTGGGTAAAAATTGAGAATATTTCATATTAAAAACTAATTCACTTCGGGAAGATTTCTACATTGTATATATATTTATATTCAGTACATAGTTACATTAGTCATCTACATCTGTGACTAATAGTACGGTTTGTCGTTGTTGCTGTTGTCATCTCTCGTAGCTTAGTGGTCAAAGCATTGGCGCGTAAAGCCAAAGAGCCCGCGTTCGATTCTCGGCGGGGGTGTGTCAACAGCAACAAATTTTTCCTCATTAATTTGAGGAAGTGTGTAGTGGGTAAAAATTGAGAATATTTCATATTAAAAACTAATTCACTTCGGGAAGATTTCTACATTGTATATATATTTATATTCAGTACATAGTTACATTAGTCATCTACATCTGTGACTAATAGTACGGTTTGTCGTTGTTGCTGTTGTCATCTCTCGTAGCTTAGTGGTCAAAGCATTGGCGCGTAAAGCCAAAGAGCCCGCGTTCGATTCTCGGCGGGGGTGTGTCAACAGCAACAAATTTTTCCTCATTAATTTGAGGAAGTGTGTAGTGGGTAAAAATTGAGAATATTTCATATTAAAAACTAATTCACTTCGGGAAGATTTCTACATTGTATATATATTTATATTCAGTACATAGTTACATTAGTCATCTACATCTGTGACTAATAGTACGGTTTGTCGTTGTTGCTGTTGTCATCTCTCGTAGCTTAGTGGTCAAAGCATTGGCGCGTAAAGCCAAAGAGCCCGCGTTCGATTCTCGGCGGGGGTGTGTCAACAGCAACAAATTTTTCCTCATTAATTTGAGGAAGTGTGTAGTGGGTAAAAATTGAGAATATTTCATATTAAAAACTAATTCACTTCGGGAAGATTTCTACATTGTATATATATTTATATTCAGTACATAGTTACATTAGTCATCTACATCTGTGACTAATAGTACGGTTTGTCGTTGTTGCTGTTGTCATCTCTCGTAGCTTAGTGGTCAAAGCATTGGCGCGTAAAGCCAAAGAGCCCGCGTTCGATTCTCGGCGGGGGTGTGTCAACAGCAACAAATTTTTCCTCATTAATTTGAGGAAGTGTGTAGTGGGTAAAAATTGAGAATATTTCATATTAAAAACTAATTCACTTCGGGAAGATTTCTACATTGTATATATATTTATATTCAGTACATAGTTACATTAGTCATCTACATCTGTGACTAATAGTACGGTTTGTCGTTGTTGCTGTTGTCATCTCTCGTAGCTTAGTGGTCAAAGCATTGGCGCGTAAAGCCAAAGAGCCCGCGTTCGATTCTCGGCGGGGGTGTGTCAACAGCAACAAATTTTTCCTCATTAATTTGAGGAAGTGTGTAGTGGGTAAAAATTGAGAATATTTCATATTAAAAACTAATTCACTTCGGGAAGATTTCTACATTGTATATATATTTATATTCAGTACATAGTTACATTAGTCATCTACATCTGTGACTAATAGTACGGTTTGTCGTTGTTGCTGTTGTCATCTCTCGTAGCTTAGTGGTCAAAGCATTGGCGCGTAAAGCCAAAGAGCCCGCGTTCGATTCTCGGCGGGGGTGTGTCAACAGCAACAAATTTTTCCTCATTAATTTGAGGAAGTGTGTAGTGGGTAAAAATTGAGAATATTTCATATTAAAAACTAATTCACTTCGGGAAGATTTCTACATTGTATATATATTTATATTCAGTACATAGTTACATTAGTCATCTACATCTGTGACTAATAGTACGGTTTGTCGTTGTTGCTGTTGTCATCTCTCGTAGCTTAGTGGTCAAAGCATTGGCGCGTAAAGCCAAAGAGCCCGCGTTCGATTCTCGGCGGGGGTGTGTCAACAGCAACAAATTTTTCCTCATTAATTTGAGGAAGTGTGTAGTGGGTAAAAATTGAGAATATTTCATATTAAAAACTAATTCACTTCGGGAAGATTTCTACATTGTATATATATTTATATTCAGTACATAGTTACATTAGTCATCTACATCTGTGACTAATAGTACGGTTTGTCGTTGTTGCTGTTGTCATCTCTCGTAGCTTAGTGGTCAAAGCATTGGCGCGTAAAGCCAAAGAGCCCGCGTTCGATTCTCGGCGGGGGTGTGTCAACAGCAACAAATTTTTCCTCATTAATTTGAGGAAGTGTGTAGTGGGTAAAAATTGAGAATATTTCATATTAAAAACTAATTCACTTCGGGAAGATTTCTACATTGTATATATATTTATATTCAGTACATAGTTACATTAGTCATCTACATCTGTGACTAATAGTACGGTTTGTCGTTGTTGCTGTTGTCATCTCTCGTAGCTTAGTGGTCAAAGCATTGGCGCGTAAAGCCAAAGAGCCCGCGTTCGATTCTCGGCGGGGGTGTGTCAACAGCAACAAATTTTTCCTCATTAATTTGAGGAAGTGTGTAGTGGGTAAAAATTGAGAATATTTCATATTAAAAACTAATTCACTTCGGGAAGATTTCTACATTGTATATATATTTATATTCAGTACATAGTTACATTAGTCATCTACATCTGTGACTAATAGTACGGTTTGTCGTTGTTGCTGTTGTCATCTCTCGTAGCTTAGTGGTCAAAGCATTGGCGCGTAAAGCCAAAGAGCCCGGGTTCGATTCCCGGCGGGGGTGTGACAACAGCAACAAATTTTTCCTCATTAATTTGAGGAAGTGTGTAGTGGGCAAAAAAGAATTCAAGAAATGAATTTTCAGAATAATATACATTTTATATAGTTAACCTTGAGATTTACGCAGGAAAACAACCCGAAGGCCCATATTATGTAACCAATAAGCCATTTGATGTCGTGGACCGTCTCGTGCAGCCAATTTCTAAAACAAACCGAAACGTAACATTCGATAATTAGTTCACCAGCTATGATTTAGTAAATCATTTGCTTCAAGAACACAAATTGACATCTGTGGGTACTATTCGTTAAAATAAAAAGCAAATATCCGCAGAATTCCCAAAAACCAAGGGAAAAGAAATAAACTCGTCGACTTTTGGTTTTCAGAAAGGTATCACGATCGTATCATATGCCCTGAAAAAAAATAAAGTGGTGTTACTTATGTCCAGCTTGCATCATGATGCTAGTATTGATACATCTACTGGCGACAAAAAAAACGGAGGTAAATACCTTTTATAACGTTACAAAAGGTGGAGTCGATGTTGCTAACTAGCTTTGTTCTACTTACAACGTTAGCCGTAATTCAAAGAAATGGCCCTTGACAATTTTTTATGGCATGCTAAATATGTCTGGAATAAATGCGCACATATTACATAACAAGAATAACAACACTACGTCAAAGCGACGCAAATTTCTAAAGAACTTAAGCCTTACACTGGTTTGTGAGCATTTGCGCAATCGTAAAGATGTCATTCAACTACCAAGACAAAATGCGCAAAAGAATAAGAAAGTTTTTAGGAGAACCTGATGAGGAGCCACCTGCGAAGGTACCTAATGTAAGAAAGAGATGCCAAGACTGTTCTGTCAAAAAAGATAGAAAAACTAATAATACTTGTCGGAGCTGTAGCAAATACATCTGCAGTGAGCATGCAATGTTGCGCAGATGATAAGGATACTATGACTGACGTATGAGACTGATACAAATAGTATAATATTATTAGTCTACTAAAGATTTGATTAACATGTAACCAATTAGTTTATGTTATAGAACAAAGTTTGTTTTGTTAAAATTTTATTACTTTAAGCTAAAGCTAAGGTAAAAATCAACAATATCACTCCTCACGCTAAAAGAATAACCAAAAGAGGTATAATAAATGGTTTAGGTACCATATTTAAATCTATTACAGGAAATTTAGATGCTTCCGACGGAGAAAGATATGAAAACTTAATAAGGGAACTACAACAAAATCAAAACAAATTAGCAAATAACATTTAAAATCAAAATTCAATATCTATCGATCTTATAAACAAGTTCAACAATACTTTAACACAAGTTAAGCACAACGAATTCTTATTGAAGATGAAATTAATTAAGGTAACAAACTATTTACAACAAAATTCAATTCAATATTCTTTAATTGTTGAAGATACATTAAATCAAATTATAAATATGTACGAAATAATTATATCTGTTCTCCAAGATATAGAAAATTCTATTACATTCTCAAAATTGGGTATTTTACATCCTAGCATAGTCGGAACAATTGACTTATTTAACGAGTTAACTAAATTACAACTTTCTCCAAATCAGTTACCCATTTCACTTACCCTAGAAAATATACCAACAATCGAAAAACTAATAAAGGTCGAGTGCTATTGGTTGCCGTGACTTCACGAGCAGAGTTTTCTCAATGTTATTTTTGCATTAGTGAATAAAAACATCGATAATAAACACTATATACAAAAACTTTATATACAACAAATTTACTGAATATTAAAATAAACGGATAACAATTAAAGTGACAACAAACGTAAGCGAACAAGTCGAAGGACAAAGTGTAACTTACTACAAATATGTGATGAAAATGAACTTATTGTACTACCACCATCAATACCTACCCAAAACCAAACAACGGACAACAAGTTCACAGAACCGAGTATCGGCAAAAATGCACCAGGGCAATACCCCGCCTCGAGCAATTGAGTTCCTAGAACCTACGAAATATGGACAGAATGGCATACAATTAAATGAGGGTGAATGCGACCGCCGACGACTGATACTGACCAGTTATCCAGGCTACATTGTTGTAATCTATATAAAAAAGTGCTGACATAGGTCTGCTCTCACGTTGGAGCCTTGATAACAAGTCTGAACTGGAAACTGCTTTTGCATAGTTAGCATTTAAGTTTTCTTATTGTTCTTTTTAATTATAAATCTTTAGATTGTTACCAGCGCGTCTACCATCTAGACGTAAGAACCTACAACCCATTTTACCTAGTAACATTTTCCACTTGTATTGAGTATTGATGTACTAGATAAATAAATAACTTTGAACTCACGAAAAAAGCTTGGTAACCTTCTCAGTCCCCACAACGTTTTTTAAAATAAATTTTTAAAAACAACTTTCGGAGGACTTAAAACAAAACTGGCGCAGTCGTGACGGATTTTCGGTGAGTTTCCTGTTTTGCAAGCGTACATCCGGCAAAGTGATCCCGTACCCGCGACGTCCGAAAGTTCGGCAAAGTGAAATTAGGAACAACCGAAAAGTGAGTTCAAAAAGGTGATAGTTGCTGCTACAGTCTCCCGACCCAAAGAGGCAACGAGGACAGAACTGGGACAACTAGACAGACCGCCAAAATCCGGAGAAACAGAGAGGGTCTCCCGACCACAACAAGGGCACCGAGGAACAACCTTCCAACAACTCCAAAAACCAGAGTAACAGAGTGGGTCTCCCGACCAAAACAAGGGCACCGAGGAGCAACCTTCCGACAACTCAAAAACTTCATCAGAGGAACCGAGTGGGTCTCCCGACCAAAACAAGGGCACCGAGGAGCAACCTTCCAACACCTCAAAACCTTCATCAACGGAACAGAGTGGGTCTCCCGACCAAAACAAGGGCACCGAGGAGCAACCTGCCGACACCGTCAAACTTCAAAATCAACAAAAGCAACAATTCAGAAAGATCTTCGACTACAAGGTAGGAAATTTTCTTTACATGTAAAAAATTGTATGGTTAACAACCAAGAAATTGTACAATTGTATAAACTTTTCATTTTAATTTTAAGTTAGTGTAAAAACTGTAATATCAATCTCGACCAGAATATCTATCATTACAGTATAGTAGATATTTTTCACGTAATATATAAATAATTAAGAAGATTTATGAGTGAGAACGCGAATTCTGTAGAGCTGATTGAATTAACAGATTTAAATCAATCGTTAAGTTCTATTAGATTAGACGATATTTTAGAAATAGAAAATATAGTATTGCCAACACCAATTAGAAACAATAGACACGAAATAAACATGCCTGTGACAACTGAACAACTTATTTCGACCGCCAAAAACTATGGCGATATTTTACCCAAATTTAATGGAAAACCAGAAAATCTTGAATCTTTCATAAATAGGGTAGAGTCATTTTACACAAAATACGGAAACACGACAGACGAGACACTTAATGAATATGTGTATTGTTTGATATGTAGTAAGCTTGTGGATGATGCGAATGATTTCATTTCATGTAGACCAGATATTAGCAATTGGCCGACGTTAAAAGAGGCATTACGTACTAAATTTGGAGATTTAACTGATAGGAAAATGTTAGCTGAGAAATTCAAAACTATGAAAATCAAAACTGGTGAAAGTATGAATGATTTCGTAAGTAGAATCAAATCCGCGCAAACACAATTAGACGTAAAAATAACTATGGATAGTAAAATCCCTGAAGACCAAAAACCCATCTACAGAAAGGTCAACGAACAGACAGCAATTGAAGTATTATATAACAATTGTCCGAGTATGTTACAAACTATACTTGACGTGAGAGACCACGAAAGTTTTGCAGCTACCGCGAATACAACGTTAACGTATTGTTCAAAACACCCTCCAGACAAAATGCGTGTAAATCAAACGCCAAAAACATCCGAAAACACACCGATGAATGTCAACAACACTCGAATTCCAGACTATTTTAGAAACATCAACCGTAATATAATAAGATCACATTTACCCATACCTAATGTTAGAAATTATAGCCAAAATTATAATACTAATGCAAACAGACCATATCTTAGACCATCGAATTTAAACGTTAGGCAACAAACACCAAATTTGAATTTTAGGCAGTCAAATTTAAATACCAATACATTTGCTGGAAATAGGCAAAATCCATCTTACGCAAACAATAGTGGTAGAACTAATAATAATTTTGATAGAACAGTGTTTAAAAATTGGAGACAACCGCGAGTTAACTTGACTGAATTAGATTTAATCGAAAATCCAGATTTTAGGTTGTACAGTGATCCTAATAGTGACAATGAACAATTTTTAACCACGGAAAATTATGACAGGTACGATAATGAACAATATGTAAATTATGAGGAAAGCTTAGATTTTGAGCAACAATATGTAGAAGAACCAGCACAGAATTTGTATGAATCCGAAATTAGGCAACCTCCAGAAACAGTCGAAAACTATCAACCCAATTCTGACACGCTAAATTTTCGTCAACTTGCCTCGGAAAGAATGTAGGAAATCAACAATATTGTATTTCAGCTAGTAATAGTAACAATTTACCTTCATTAATAATTGAATCAGACGATGGACTTCAAGTCAAAATTTTAATAGACACTGGCGCTACTAATTCTCTAATAAAACCAAAATTAGCACATAAATTATACCCCGAATTTATTCGTAAGGAACATTTTACTTTAAAGACAATTACAACTGAAACAAAACACGACGAAATTGTAAATTTAGATTTATTCAATCCTGGTCAATGGTTAAAATATTTTGTGGTTCCATTTCATCGCGATTTTGACATCTTGTTAGGTTCAGATGCTTTGGAAACAATGAACGCAATAATAGACTATAAATTAGGCACCATCTCTCTTAATTATCAAAAATTTAATCTAGTTAAATACGACGCGAATCTTGCAAACAAGGTTCAGAAACAAAATTTTCTCGTTTCCATAAAGAAAGGCACAATTCTAGTACCTCAACAACGAATAGGTAATACATTGATACCTGATACTATCACAACCGCCGAAAATTTTCACTGTATAGTTCCAGTCTATGGCAATCTTTTAGAAAACTCATATCATCAAAAAATTAAGGCGCATACTATAGATAACACTCAGTTAGATATCGCGCAAGTCTATAAACCACATGTTAGGAATAAAACAGTAACATCATCATCAACTAAAACATTAAATCTAGACTTATCCCATTTAGATGAGAAAAAATACAAAATAATTAACGGTTTATGTAACAAATATAGTGA